TGGCAATCAAAATGCTCACACAACTGACTGAGCTTGGTCAAAAAATGAGAAACATACCCAAAATGAAATAAAGCAAAATATGCAGGGAACCAACAGTGACAGGAAGGAAATCAGGACTCGAAGGAATGATTTGGAACAAAAGGAAGAAATAAACATCCAACTGAAACAGAATGAAAAAACAAGAATCCAAAAAAATGAACAAAGGCTGAGGAATCTCTGGGACAACCTGAAACATTCCAGTGTCTGAATTATAGAGGAGCCAGAAGGAGAAAAATAAGAGCAAGAAGTTGACAACTTATCTGAACAAGTAATGAAGGAAAACTTCCCCAATTGGCAAAGGAAATAGACTTTCAGAAAGTCCAGGAAGCCCGGAGAGTCCCAAAGAAGTTGGACCCAAAGAGAAGCATACCAAGGCACATCATCATTAAGTTATCCAAAATTAAAGACAAAGAGAGAATCTTAAAAGCAGCAAGAGGAAAGGAAAAAGTTACCTACAAAGGAGTGCCCTAAGACTGTCAGCTGATTTCTGAAAAGAAACCTCACAGGCAAGAAGGAGCTGGAAAGAAGTATTCAACATCATGGAAGGCAAGTACCTACATCCAAGATTTCTCTATACAGCAAAGCTATCATTTAGAATGGAAGGGCAGATAAAGTGCTTCCCAGATAAGATCAAGCTAAAGGAGTTCATCATCACCAAGCCATTACTATATGAAATGTTAAAGGGACTTATCTAAGAAAAGAAAGATCAAAAATATCAACAGTAAAATGACAACAAACTCACAAATATCTACAGATGAACCTAAAAAAATAAAAGAAAAACAATGAAAACAAAAACTAAGCAAACAACTAGAACAGGAACATAATCAGAGAAATGGACATCACATGGAGGGATTTCAGTGGGGAGGGGGAAGGGAGGAATGGGGGAAAAAGGTACAGGGGAGAAGCAGCATAATTGGTAGGCATTAAATAGATGGGGAGAGGTCAAAAAAGGTATAGGAAACAGAGAAGTCAAAGAACTTATATGTATAACCCATGGACATGAACTAAGTGGGGGGATGCTGGAGGGTTGGGGGTGTAGGGTGAAGGGGGGATAAAGGGGGAAAAATAGGGAAAACTGTAATAGCATAAAAAATTTTAAAAGGAATTATATTTTTAATACTCTTCATCAAGACTTCTTTTGATATCTCACTAATCATTTTGGTTGTCTACAGTTTCAGGATTGAGTCAAGGAAACAGTATTTTTTGACTTGTTATGTGTTGATAATGTTATCTATTGCTTAATATGGAGAGAGTCAGTTTTTCTGGATAAAAATCATTGGCTTACATTTTCTTACTTGTAGTAATATGAAAACACTAACTCCATTTAATACTACAGGGAGTGTTGCTGTGAGAAAGTCGGATACTAACCTAATTTCCTTTTGAAGTCATCTACCTTATTCTTAGAGGCCCCGAGATATATTTTCTTTTTCTACAGACTAATTTTACTAGCATATATCTTGATGTTTTTTGCTCTGGCTTACGTTCTCAGGCACACGGTGTTCTCTTTCTGTTGTTTTCAAATCGTCTTTTAAGAGACTTTTCATGAATTACAGTTTTCCATATTTGTTCTGTTCCCTTGCTTTGGTTATCTTCCTAAAGGCTTTTTATCTGGGCCGTTTGTTTGCCTGTCTTCCATATTTGTGACTCTCAAGTCCTCTTACCTTTTCACATTCCTTTTGGTCTTTAAATTTTTCTTCCTTTTCAACTTCTATTTTAAAGATCTTTTCTGTTTATTCACTTTTGTGGTCCTGCTGGCTTAGCTATCATCTTTGAAATGACTTGTCTTTATTTATACATTCCAAGATTCTGTCATCTCATTTCTGAGCTCTCTAATTTTAATTTATATTGGCTTTTGACACATAACACTGGTGTGTCAATTACTGATAGTGCATTTTAAAGTGGAGGTTTGATCTATTTTATGATCATATCTTACTAGGGAGTTTCCTATTAAGGCATTATTCTGTTCATCATTTTTTTTTCTTCAGCTCTACTGAGGTATAATTCACAAATAAAACTGAAAGACACTGAGGTGTATATAGTGATAAAATATACATACAAATTGTGAAAGGATTCCCCCATCTAGTTAAAACATCACATTTCACAAACTTTATTTTTGATTTTCTTTTTTGGGTTTTTTTTAAACCTCACCAAGGACATGCTTACTGATTTTAGAGAGAGGGGACAGGAGGGAGAAAGAGAGGGAGAGAAACGCCGATGTGAGAGGGGAACAATGACTGGCTGCCATCTGTACGCGTCCCAACTAGGAACGGAACCTGCAACACTGGCATGTGCTCTGACTAGGAATCAAACCCTTATGGGTTACAGGGGGATGCTCCAACAAACTGAGCCACACCATATTTATGGCAGGGGTGTCCAGCCTTTTGGTGTCTATGGGCCACACTAGAAGAAGAGCTGTCTTGGGCCACACATTAAACATATTGCAACATGTAATCACACCAAAAAAATCTCATAATGTTTTAAGTAAATTTATGATTTTGTGTTGAGTCTCATTCACAGCCATCCTGGGATGTATGTGGCCCATGAGCCGAAAGCTGGACACCTGTGGTAGAGCTTTTGGCGGGAGGGGGTGTTGGTGAGAACACTTAAGTTTGACTCTCTTGAGAAACGTGAATTACATAAAGCAGTTATCAACTATAGTTACAATGTCATACATGGGTGGGCAAAACATAGGTTAATAATAAATAATACAATAATTAGTAAAATTCAGAATACTCTAATGTTGTAATAGTGGTGGGTAAATCACTTACAAATCTAGTATTTATAACTGTTAAAAGATAAAAGTAGTAAAAACAACTACAATGTGTTAATGAATATACAAGGAAAAAGATGTAAATTGTGACATCTGAAACACTAACATGGAGGGGAGAGTAAAAATGTAGAGCTTAAGTATACATTCAAAGTTAAGTTGTTGTTAGCTTAAAATGCTGCTATAGATAAGATGTTCTTTATAATAACCTTAGATGGGATTTTACCTTGACACTTGTTTCTCATGTTTATGTAAAATGAGGTTCAAGCTGGTTTTCTAACTTTACAGAATTCAGTCTCCTGTTGTTTTTATGTAATATTAAAAACTATGGGAGCTTCCTTTGTAAGATCTCCCAGTTGTTCTGTCCATATTTATCGGAACCGTCTCTTTCCTTCCCCTTAATTTTCCCTTCTTCTCAATTCTGATGATACCATTCTATTCAATTTTGTTCTACTCAGTGAGGTACACTGTTCAGGAAGGGAACTCTGGCAGGCCATTTCCAGAATTCTTTGGAGCCAGACTGCTCTACCCTTTTCTGTCTTCACCGTGGACACAACTGTGCTTGCCTGATATTGGAGTGGGCAACCCCCACCCTCTCATTTCAGCTGCTGCTCTTAATATAGTCCACCACATTGTCTAGTAAATAGCTGAGGCTATTTTGGAGGTCTCCTGCATTTAAGTTCAATGAAACACCTCATATATATTCTCTCATGCTCTCTCATTCTCCCCCTCCACCCTGCCCTCTATATCCTTACTCTTACACAGGCAGTAATACTATGCAGGTCTTTTGACTGTTAGTGGTCTGCCTACTTACTTGCTTGTATTTCTGGATGCCTGAGATTAGTTTTAAGGTATGTTTTTAGATTTGCTATGTAGTTTCGTTGGTTTTTGTGAGAGTATACCAAGGGAGTCAAAAAAATTATGACATGGCCATATTCAATTTCTAGTGTCCCTCTCAAAGTCAAATTTGAAGTTAAACACAACAATGGTTTTATGTTCATCATATACTTATTACTTTTTTGACATTTTATTTCTAATTATTTTTCAACCATCTTGGTGTAAGTCATTTCACTCATTTTTGAAACAAGGCCCAAAATACACTATTCCATTACTACAAAAAGTTTATTTTAATAAATTCTTGAAATCTTTCTGGTTTTTAATACTTTTAAATGCTTCCTGACTCATCACTCAAATAACTTACAAATGCTTACCCTTTGATAAATTCTTTCAACTCTACCTAAGGCTCTCTAGGTTCCTGTTGGAGTCTTAGAATAAGACCACTAGAAATCCAAAGAATCACTCAAACACGCTATCATAAATGGTGTCTTTAAAAATCTGAACATGATCTGAGGAGAAATTCCATGTTTATTTATTATAACTGTCTTCCTTGAATACTGGAGTATACATGCAGTAATATACATGCAGTAGGTTTTGTCCTACCCCAGGAATCAGCAAACTACAGCCCACTGGCTCACTATATATGCTGTAAATAAAGTTTTACTGGAACACAGCCATGCCTATGCCCTTATGTATTATCTATAATTGCCTTCACACCACAACAGCAGAGGTAAGTAGTTGCAACAGAGGTCGTAAATGACCCACAAACCCTAAGATATTGACTATCTGGACCTTTTCAGAAAAAGTTTGCCAACCACTGTCCTAATCTAGAGATTTACCAAATAAGTTTCCATAAGCAGTAACTACTGGCCCTACAGGTAATTCTGAGTAGGATGACTCGTTGTTGTCCTGGGTGTCCAGCACATTGCAAAAGGTAGCATCCCTGGCCCTGGAGAAACTAAAATGCTAATAGCACTCCCAGTCCTCATGCTAAACAAAACTCCCCACACATTTCCAAACACTCTTGGAGAGAGTACAAGTCCTATCTCTGGTTGAGAACCACTGAAGAAGTAAATTAGCTCAGAGTAAAGAAAAAGAAAATATAGTTCATAAATTCTAAATGTTATCAACATAAATGAGAAATAGTTACCTCTTTTTAAATTTTATTTATTTGTTGCTCAATCACCTATTTACCTTTTAAAAGCACACTGAAAGTGTGTTCATCTTTTCCTTTGACACTTAGCAAGAAATACGCTAATTTCTTCTTTAAGAAATTAGGCTTTATAATTTGATTACTATCTCAAGACATGTGGTGTTTACTTAAAGTTTAAAAATAAATCTATAAAGTTAATCTTACCGATTTGTTCCATCCAGATTTGATTTGTGGATAAAATTAAGTTTTGCATCTGCCCAATAAAGTTTCCGTTCCTCATAATCCAAAGTCAGTCCATTTGGCCAGTAAATTTCAGTGTTTATTATAATGAAGCGACTTGAACCATCCATTCCAGCACGTTCTATCTTTGGTACTTCTCCCCAGTCTGTCCAGTATATGAATCTAAAAATCATATAAAAATAAACCAATAATATAAGCAGGTTAACAGCAAAGTATCCATATTTCATAATTATCACTATGATATAAAGAAAACTCATGAACACTAATGTTAAAACACTAGAAATTATCAAAATTTTAATAATCTACCTGGTAATAACTGATTGAATCAAGGATCATACAGGATACAAAAAAATCAGATCAAAGTTTATTGGAAAAGGACATTTACATGATCTCAATTTATCCCCCCCTAGATTAATTATTAATGACAAAGGGAAAATGGTAACTTTAGAGAAAATAAGCTTGTTGGACACCACCTTAACCACGTCATTTACGTTAACATCGTTAGTAAAGTGAAGAAACAGGCATCATGTATGTAATGCACAGGAAGGACATATCATCTTTTATGTAGATCTCTTAAACAATGTTCCTGCCAAAAAAATGCAAAACCTGAACAAATTTATGAAGAAATAGAACCAAAATGAGGAACATTCTGAAAAAACAACTGGCCTTTGAAAATACCAATGTCCTGAAAGTCAAAGAGAGTAATTTCCGCTGGAGGAGATTAAGGGAAAACAAAAAAACATGGCAACTACACTAAGTGCATGATTCCAGACTAATCAGTTGGGGAAAATGCTATAAAGATACTATTGGGAAACCTATCAAAATTTGATAGACTGTCAAAATCCCCATATAGTAGAAATGTACTAAAGTTAATTTTCTAAATATGATCATTGTAGTGTGGTACAGTATACAGAATTTCATTGTGCTATTCTTGCTTCTACAGATTTGAATTTTTACAAAATAAAAAAAATGGAAATCTTAATATTAATAGTCTCTTTCCAGAGGGGGGAAATTCTTTTTCTTCATTTAAAGATAAAAGTCTTAATATATTATATTTCAATTATAAACATTTTTTTAAAGTTAAATGAGGTGCTATGAACTAGATATGAGGTATTCAAGAAATGTGTTTAAATGCAATTGAAATTCAGGTATAACTTTTACTGAAAAACTGGTGGGGTGGTGATATTGGAATGATTCCACTTATGCACACTGATATTTCATATAAAGTATTTACTCAAATGAAGGGAGAAGAATATCAGGTGGGGGAAAATATACTTTTTAGTTATAAGGCATCGTGTTAACAGCCTTCCACACATTATCTTATGTAAGCCTTACAGCAACATTATGAAATATTACCTCCATCATCTTATTTCAGATGAAAAGACTCAGAAAAGTTAACATGTTGCACAAAGCCACACAGCTAATAAATGCAAAACAGAAATTCAAAACTGTATTCCTCAGATTCCAACATTTAAGCCACAGGTCAGAGCCTTATTTATAAAGAATAAAAGGTAGGGCCCTGGCTGGCGTAGCTCAGTGGATTGAGCACGGGCTGCGAACCAGTGTCGCAGGTTCGATTCCCAGTCAGGGTACATGCCTGGGTTGCAGGCCACGACCCCAGCAACCGCACAATGATGTTCCTCTCTCTCTATCTCCCTCCCTTCCCTCTCTAAAAATAAATAAATAAAATCTTTAAAATTAAAAAAAAAGAATAAAAGGTAAAGTGCTCCCTAAATTAAGGATAATGATTGGATAATGTCCAGAATGAGGGGAAGAGAATGATTAAATTTATGTAAGATAAAACTATAAGAAGGCAATTTTAGACCATGCTAGAATTTGTTTTTTATTCTTAGAGCAATATAAAGATACTGGAGGACTTTTAAAACTGGAGGTGAAATGACTAGCTTGGAGTGGCAGGGACTGACTACAGTGTGAAGAAAAACTCAAAGAAATATAAAAAGAATAGAAAGGCCAGAGCTCCCAAAATGAATCTGTGAAGGAACTTATTAGCAAATCATCTCTCCTGAAAGCAAGGAAAAAACAGGAAAAGACTTTCAAACATAACTAACGTCTCTGAAAATTGATCAAATGATATACAATAAAATGAGAAGCACTTACTCAAGAAAATCTATCAAATCTCAGTTAAGAAATACAGTATCTCAGCTAGAGGTTACTAGCATCACCATCCACAGCACTGCTGGGTTTGTGGCACAGAAGTTCTACCCCGAGCGGCCACAGCAGGCCATAAAGACTGGCAGCTAACTGGCCCTGAAAGACGGGGCTGAATTTATTTCAAGCACTTAACAGAAAAATCTGTGCCTAGGAATAGTGTCAAAAAACAAGAGAGCTCTCTCAGTGGCAAACAATCCCAGCAGCAATGGTTGAGGAAGGCAACAAAATGGCACACCAGACGTAAATTTAATAGGGAGATCCTGGGTAAGAGACAACTAAAGAGGGCCCCCTAAAATGCACACTCATCCTTGTTGGTCAGGAAGGCTGTGTGCATGCATGAGGCTGCTCCGGCTCAAGAGAGAACCCTTGAAAATTAGTCTCTGGCTGAATGTGGGATGAACATTAAACCTTCTAAAATTTGAAAAGATTCCCCAAACCACAAACAGATTCAAAGAAAAATGATGAAACATTTACTGGCTCAAGACATTTAGGTAATCAGTCATTAGCAGACCACTAAAATACAGTGATCCAGGGGCAAACCCTAGAAAGTCAGGCATACAAAAATTTTTTAAGAAAAAAAATAGTAGCCTTCCAGGAAGTGAAAAATTTCCTTCAAATATTTTCTTTTGAAAGTCCAAACTGTGGCCTTCTCTTTTTGACCCAGTCTCTAATTACTTTTTTTGTTTTGCTTTTTGCTGTCATTTACATGATCCAAAATTTTAGAGTAAAAAAAAAAAAAGTTGAGCAGTAACTTCAGAAGCAGACATTGAGAGGGGAATACATTCAAAGTAATTAATGGGGCAAGTCATTAAGTAAACACACACACACAAAAAATAGGAAAGGGACAAGCCAGGGAGGCCTCAAAGTCCATATATGCTATAAGGACATCAATTACCTGTCTGATATATTACAGGAATTCCCAAATTATTTTCTAAGAAGAATCTTGCCCTTGAGAAATCTCAGTTCACTTCCCCAGCTCGCCTTACCTACTTTTATTGAACTGCACTTTGCCCTGATGCTGCAGGGACAAATGCCGAAGAAATCTGTCACTGTGGATATTATAAGGGTGTTGTTCATTACATTATATAGCAGCTTCTCTATAAAAACTAATGGGGTAGAAATTGGTTTAATTATCAGGAGTAAAGATGATTTCTCAGCAAATGGCATTTACCTAAGGAACATTAACTCTTGTAATTGGTATACTTTAATAGATTGGCTTAGAATATTCCTAAAACCCATTCCAGTTACAAAATTTGTATTTCTATTAACTCTCTTCGCCTTTTATACCCACCATTACACCTCATTCCATCTTTCAACATTAGAAAGGGAAAAAAATACAGACATTCAAATCTCAGCAAAGATACCCATGAATCCTATGGCCATTCATTCACAAAATGTCGTGGATATTTGGCATTTTTGCATGGACATCTAACATCTAAACTACCTTCCTATGCATGGAGAATCCTCCGCTTTATAAGGCAGAACCAGTTTCTGAACCTAAAGAAATCGAAAACATCAGGTATTTACCTTCAAAACCTCTACTTCAATTGGGACAGGGGCAGTAAGATCTGGGTTTTCCTCTCTGACAAACCAAGAAAAGGAGGTGGAGATGGAAGGAAACAAAGGTGGCAGTAGCAGCCACAAGGACCACAAGCAACCCATTCTGGTGAGGTTGGGGGCAATAACAAGGGCTGAATAAATCCAGTTTGAATTAGTTCATCCTTCTCTAACCCACCCATCCAGTTTTGCAAGAACACACGACAGCAGTTTTAGGAGTATCTGTTGCCTCAAGTCACTGAGAGAGTACAAATAGTGGTGAATATACTACCTAACAGTGGTGCCTGCACTGTCCTAGGTCTGTGGTATGATTTGGAGTACTGTTCCTGGCTACAGATTCCAAGCCTCGTCCTTCTATCATTTAGGAAATTCTATGAGTAACCCAATATATGCTTTAAAAACGCTTTGTTTTTTTTTATTAAAGGGATAAATACTTTGTTTTTAAATTAAAGGGATTTCTACTGCTTAAAACAATGAATACTGACACACATTTTAGATCCAAACAGGATCCCAAAGTGTTACTTTAAAAGTTTAAACAAAGTCACTTCAACTCTTTGTCAACAACAGCTTATATCTTAGAACTCCCCCCACCCCCACAGTCTTACAATTGGCATGTTTCAAGTCTCTTCCCTCCTCTCATTAAGGGCCAATGTCAACATTCATCAGAATGACGGGCAGAAAACTGTCAGACAAATCACATCCTAAACCACTGATCTGTACACTTACCCAAAACAGTATCTTGATGAAAACTGATACAGAGAACAATTTGTGACAGATTTGATACTTATGTCACCATAAACAATGACACAATAAAGTGTGAAAGAAAACCAACCAACTGAACTGTTTGCTTTATTCACACCTTTGTAACTTCAAAACCCAATAATCATCCCTACATAATGACTGTGAGATAACCAGTTCTTAAGTATTCAGAAACTAGAATTGTACATGTAATTAACAGTTACAGTATGGTCTGAACGTTTACCCCTTCAAGAGAAACTCATTAAAAATATCAATAACTTGCATTCTCCCATCACCAATTCTCCTTAAGTAGGTCCAGACTGGGACTTGACATTGTGTAAAAGCTCCCCAAAGAATTCTAATTCAGACAGGGTTTAGAACCAGTAAAAACAAATCTGACTTTTTCTGCACCTGTTTATCCACAGCACTCAGTTTTTGTACAAGTAGCATTGTGTTTAACTCATTAACCAGCTGATCCTAAATATTAACTAATAATTAGCCCCAGGTGACACTCAGTCCTTAAGGCATGTAAAACCATGTAACGGAAAAAAGCTCTAAGTAAATTCTACCCACATAATAGACTTCTATATATTCTTCGAACATTTTTTTGACAAATGGAATTTTAAAAGTTGACAATTACTGCTTAAATTTTACTAAGAGCAAATATACAAAGATCTGTGAGAATAAAAATGAAT